GGTTTTTAGGCCTGGCGAATCCGATTATGCGGATGGAATTAAGAAAAAGTTAGTAGATAAGGGAGTTAGTGAGAATGTTAGTGCGGGGAGCCATGTGACCTGTCTCTTATACACATCTAGATGTGTATAAGAGACAGCCCCTAGCCGGTTCACACGACTTCCCGCCCTCTTTCCCCCAATCCGTCCCCGATTCTACTCCCCCCCCAATCCCGACTTTCTCCCTGATCTCCCTCTGATCCCGACTTCCCCCATCTTCTCCTCACTTCGCCCACCTCCTTCCCCCCCCCCGCTGATCCGGACTCGCCCCGATTCTTCCCCCCGTACTCCCGACCTCGATCCCACCTGATCGCGTTCCCCCCCTGCGATCCCTCCCCCCTTCCCGCCCATCTCTCTTTCCCCCCCGCATCTCGACCCCACTCCCCTGCTTCCCAGTGTGATTTGCCTCCCCTCCCTTCCCACGCTCCTTCCCCAATTTACCTCCGCCTCCGCGCACGTGCGCACCAGGGCTTGGCTGGAGCGGCACATCCGCTAGAAGATAACGCAATTATCCTGAGATGAACTTAACGAGAACAAAAATCTCGTGAGGAGGAAGAGGACAAAAGCACATTTGATTTTGATTTCCAATCCGAATACAAATTGTGAGAGCGTGGCCTATCGATCCTCTAACGTTTCAGCACTTCAAGCTAGAGGTGTTAGAGCAGCTACCACAGGGATAACTGGGTTGTGCCAATCAAGCGTTCACAGCGACGCTGCTTTTTGCTCCCCCGACATTCGGTGTGCCGCCATCTCCACGAGCCATCATCATCATCATCATCGCCGCCATCGTCGACATCATCATTGTCACAGCTGCTCACCTTCATTGCGCGCATTCGATCCGACGACCTCGTTGTTCCACCGGGGGAACGATCAAGAAGACCCTTTAGGGGTTGATTGAAGACCTTCCTCGACTAGGAGGAAGGACCTCGATTGCTCCCGGCTGACCGGGAGCGTGGTATCGTCAATCTCACTTCCTCTTACTAATCCCCCCCTCTCCCTCTTGTCGATCTCTCTAAAAGATCTTGTGTTTCTCTTCCCGTTCTATCTCCTCTCCATTCGCCCTTCTCCCCTCTACCATCACACCTAATCGGTCGCATCATCTAAAATTCCTAATATGTGTGACGAGTATTGTCTCTCCTTGTGCTTCTCTGATAATGTCGTCCATTCTGCCGTGCGGAAATTCTACCTAATTCGATAGGATTGATCCTCATTCTCTCTTCCTCCAACTCCGTGCACGAAATTAATTATGGCGTTTTTGTTCAAAAGTCGTGAATTCCTTTATTACACCAAAATCTTTTCGTTATTTAGTTTAAAATTTCATTTCATTTCAAAAATTTATGAAATAAATTTTGAAATTTACTGAATTTAGTTCTTATGACACCGACTCTACTTCTACTTTCTGCCCCCCATAAAATTCCCAAATTCTGCAAGTCTTTTTTTTATTCTTTTGGAATTCTTTTAAATTTCTTTGAAATTCGCTTAAATTTGCAACATGTAGCTAAATTTTCTTAACTTAATCTAAAAAATTTTAAAATTTACCTTGATTTATTTTATTGGCTTTCATTAATTCCTTTTGCCATTTCATCGTAAATTCTTAATTTAGGAATTAGTTTTTTATTTTTATTTCAAATATTTTTCAAATTTCTTTTTATTTCGGAAATACGATACAAAAGTTTTCATTTTATTTCAAACTTCTCCCCCAAACTCATCTTCACCTCTTCTATCTTCTCCGCGATAATACTATTGATACAATATTAGTGAATATGATATAGTACATTAGAAAAAGAAAAAAATTACGAATATATATATATTTTTTTTAATTTTGTTTATTTTAAATTTTGAATTTATGTTCAAATAATTTTGGAATTTTATTTTGACTTTGTGATTATTTTATGCATGCCTTTCTCTATACTCGACGTCAGTCTTTGAAAATTTATTCTCATCCGCTCGCCCGAATTGGAAATTTTCCGATCCCTCCCTCAATCCACCTCTGAATTTTCTTGATTTAATTTTGCAAGTCCGTTAGACTTCATTTCCATTGCCCTTCGTTCTCCGTCCACCCTAGCCTCACGTGACCACTCTCAACGTGCTCTACAAAATCGAGCTCAAGATGCCCACGCTTCCCAACGTCTCACTCCCTTTGATACGCCGACCGCGGCCACTGAGCGTTTCTTCCGTCCTAGCTCTCCCTCCACACCATCTTCATCCTCTTCATCTATCGACTCCATGCGGAGCGCAGATTCCTTGATCCTAGCTTGCTCCACTAGTGACAGCCTTGCACTTCTCGCCCACGAAATCGCAACCCAATCACCCGTCGCTGCTACTGCGGTAGACTCTGGTGCTACCGCCTCTACCCCGGCGGATGCGCTTGCTATGTTCCTACAACGGATGCAAGACCGTTTCGGTGTGCAACTTGCCACCCTATCTGACCACATGACACATCGTCTTGACGCTCAGTTTGCAACCCTGTTGGACCGTATGACACAAACAGAGTGTCGAACCCGTTCTCTCCCCCCTCTCCAATTTTGCATCCCGCATTCCACCACCCCAGCCACTACATCAACATCTATATCATCTTCCTCTCCTTCTTCGTCTGGCGTCATCTACACGCTTGTCTCTACCACGAGTGGCATATCCTCTCCTCTGACTCACCTTTCCTCTGCAGCCATCTCTTCCTCCCAAGTTCCCACCCCCGCACTTTCCTCCCCAGGACTCATGGCATCTTGTCCCGCCACCTCTTGGACTTTAGTTTCTATGGCCCCTACCTCATCACCCCCCGCCCCCTTGTCTCCTCCCCCACCTCCTCTGACACCTCAGACACAGATTGTTGACCTTCACCACCAGCTCGTAGTGGCTATGGACCGCATTCACCAACTTGAGGGCAACCAGCCTCCTCGCCCACACATAGCGGCCCAGCCTATCGCTCATTTCATTTATTGACAAGTTGCGACAACACCAGACACAGGTGGCTGCGATGCACTTTGCTCTCCCCCCACTGGCCACCACAATATGTCAGAGACCATTTCCCTAGCTTCCTCCCCTTTCTAGCACCTCTAGTGGTGTTACTACTCCCTTTGTCCTTTTGTCCCAATCTTCCCTTTCTCTCACCTCTCACTATTGGTCCCCAACTTACGTACCCCAGTTCCGACCGGACCGACTTCCACAGTTCGACGACAAGGCCTCTGAGCTCCACGGATGGATCACTACCTTCGAGGAGAAGCTTCGGTTTCATGGTGTCCCCATGGATCTGTGGCCTACCGAGATCTCCGCTCGCTTCAAGGCTCGAGCTGCCTCCACGTGGCGTGACTTCCTCGCCCTTCGCGCATAACAGGGTGTACACGAGGGCATGACGTATGTAGAGTTTCGTGACTTTCTTCAGCAGTACTTCTCTCGCCCTATGCCTCCTCGCGACCCGATTACCCGTGTGGCCTCGATCAGATGGCTTGGTGGCAACAATGCCTTAGAGTCATATATCACGGCATCCCACCGTGTACGCGCCCAAATTCCCATCACCGCCATAACTGATGACACCACGGTCCAGCGTTTCCGCGCAGGCCTACCCCAGCCATTCCAGTTACAAATGATGGCATACTCGATCCACACCTAATTGAGGCTTTCAACATCGCCAAGGCCATCTAGCTCACCTACACACCACTCATTGGCTCGACACCTCAGCCTGGTGCTGCCCCTCCCGCTGCTACTACATCACTTGGTACATCCCGACCCCGACAGTCTTCCACATATCGCCACGGCCGTCGTCGAGGTCCTGGACGATCCTTCTTTCGTAGCGTTCAGGTCATGCTTCGCGAGCCTTCGAGCACAGATGACGGTACTGGCTCCGATAGCTCCCTGAGTGACCCCGATCAAGGACTTGACCCTCAGTCCCCTGTTGACGGAGACGATCTCGACCTGGATGAGCACCTTGCCCGAACCTTCTCCGCAACGCCAGTCCTCATCCACAAGGACTCGCTCATCGGCCTCATAGCAGCCCCTACCTGCGGGTTTCATCTTCCCTCAGGCCCAATTGACTACTGAGGAGAGTGAGGACTTCCATTGCGTGAGGTATTTGTACTCGTTGTCACTTACCTGGTCATACCTCGTCCACTTGCCCCTACGTAGACGCCCTCCAGCGTCACTTTGCTCATTAGGCCCGCCCTCAGCCTGACCCCCCAGTTTCGACATCGAGCGCCGCAGCCACCTAGCAGCGATCTTCCGTTCTCCTGACCCTCCTACAGTAGCCAATATACCTGCTTGCGACTCTACCTTCTCGTCGCTTGCTGCTCTCCATGATGACTCGGGTCAGCCGTCACCTTTGGTTGACCCTAGCGACGCTGGTACACCCTCCCCTTCTTTGCCGAACATCTCTTCTTATCCTCCTCCTTCTCCTCCTCCTAGGCGTGCTCTAAGCACGGCCCGCTGCAGTGTTTCCCTTGTAACAGTCGAGGATATCATCGACTTCCTAGACCTCGAGTGTGTTAAGGTCCACCAGGAACGTCTCCGCCTCAGAGAGCACACCCTATTTGCGATGTCTCATGCTTACACAACCCGGACTGCACTTTACCTATTATTCTGGTGCGCCTCGGGACCTCCACCAAGGTTCATTACGCACTATGTGACTCAGGCTCTACTAGTGATTTTATACATCCTCGCTCATCTAAGGAAGCATCTCTCTATACATCTGCCTACCCTTCTACTGCCATCGTTACGCTTGGTGACAATCAGGCCAAGTCCTTCGTCGATTGTGTGGTGCCTGATCTTCCGTTCTCCTTTCCCTTGCGGATGCCCCTTAGCCTTCGCAAGGTCCCTCGGTTCCATGACCAGTGGACCTTCGACGCCATCAAAACCCTATACGACCTTGTTCTCGGCACCGCCTACTCCCATCAATTAGCCCATTCTGGTCCCGATTGGATCCACAACGATCTTGTCCTCGATGCCAAGGATGGGAAGCAATGTCGTATTCCATTGTTGCACGAATCGGACTCTACATCTCTCTCCCCTGTCAATGTCGCCATCTTAACACCTACTTAGTTCCACCACATCTTTCGTCCGCCGGATGCCGAACTCTATGTTGTCGATATTACGGATCTCCTCACTTGTAACTCCATGCATCAGGATGCTGGGTTGGTCGAGCTCGACCCACCACTCCCCGAGCCCCCCGACCCTCTTGATCCTTCAACCTCCTCATCCTCCACCCCTGCTAGCTCATCTCACTTTGTTGCATCTCTAACCAGTGAGACTCCCTCTGTACGTATTCCCACACCGACTCCCTTCACCCCTGCGTCAGACGCCACGACCGCCAAGGAATTTGATACCCTTCTTTCTTCCTTGCAGCCTAGCGTCGCTGCCCTCCTTCACGAGTATCACGATGTCTTTCCACCATTTGTTTCCTATAGCAGCATCCCCCCTATGCTCGATATCGAGCACCACATCCGGCTCAAACCCAGCTACCGCATTCAGCATCATGCCCCATACTGCATCCGGCTCGAACCCAACTACCGCATTCTGCTTCATCAGGGCTTTATTAAACCGAGTACGTCCTCATGGAGTGCACCTGTCCTCTTTGACCGCATGAAGGACAACACCATCCGCCTCAGCCTCGACTACTGTGGTCTCAACGACTATATGGCCATAAACAGTTATCCTATGCCCCACCCTGATGATCTGTTTACCGCCTCTTCGGCCACCACTTTTTCACGAAGATCAATCCTCATAACGGATATTACCAGATCCGTGTAGCCGAGGAGGACCAGCCTAAGACCGCTTTCCGTTCTCGTTTTGAGAACTATGAGTTTACCGTCATGCCTTGGTCTCCGTAATGCACCTGTCACCTTCCAGACGGCCATGAACACGATGTTCCAAGACGTTCTTGAGGACTTGGTTCTAGTATACCTTGACGACATCCTGGTCTGTGGTCGTACCTTAGAGGAACATCTGATTCACCTTCACAATGTCCTCCAGCGATTATGCGACCATGGGTTCTATGCGTTGTCGTACCAAATAACCTTATAAGGGTATTTGGCGTGTTTTTTCTGAAAGTCACACTAGTGCAGCCTCTTCCGCCCGATGGCCCGCATACGGGAGGAAGTTTAGGCCCTCGCCGGGGAGAGCGGTGCGCTCGGGGTATTGACGGCGAGGCGCAACCAAGCGCAGTCTGGGTATGCACGACGTCATGGAGTAGAGGGATGCATGACTTTCATTCTCAATTTTATTATTCATTTATTTATTTATTTACTTTTATTGAATTTTTAAGGTCCTTAGCTCGGTGATCGATTCCAAGTCCGATGTCGAGACCAACAGGTCTGGCTTAGTTGCTACGTCGCCAGGACATGGGTGCTCGTCGTCGACGACTTTGACTACGTACGTCTTTTGGCGGGCTCGTCCGGGTCCCCGGGTGTTCGAGATGCGGGCGAAAATTCATGTCGGCCTTGGAACGCAGGCCGGGGAGTTCGACGTGTGTGCGAGCCGATGGGTAATTAGCCCGCGAGGCGGAAAGAAACCTGTGTGGCGGGGGCCGTTTGTGGGTATATGGCCTGCCACCGAATGTCTGTTGCAAGAGGTTTAAGTGTGAGCATGCCCGTTTAGAACCGATCGATGGGGAACTGTGTCGTGGCACAGCGGGCCAAAGGGTGTCGGGGCGGAAAGCCACCTTGCCCAGACAGACCGACCGTATGACACCCTCTCCACCTGGGACTTCAAAGCTACTACTACCAAGATCTGCATTGGGATCTGCCTCACCGAGGCTCACGCTGCGGGTTGCGCAGCAGCCTTGCGTCCTCCTACCCATCAAGGCGTAGGAGTGGCCTAGGTGGTAGAGCATAGGTCGCGGGCTTCAACGCCTTCCATTTTCGAGGCTGATAGACCGGCAGGTAAGTGGTTACACACTCCTTAGTGGGTTTTTACTCCCACGATTACCGTCCTGTGGTCTGCGGTAGTCGACGCCCGCTGTGATGTCTGGTTTAGTGCGTAGCATAACACGGGAGGATACAAGCGACGTTCATAGACAGTGAAGTGGGGCGTAGTGCTGGTCGGGGACGATGAGGAGACAGTGCGGAGACACTCAGAAGAAGGATGAGATGTATCTGGCTGGGTACTACGCCAGGTGCATTCAGAGTGGAGGCAGAGATGGCAGTAGCGGGAAAACGAAGGTGATGGGGGCGAAAAGTGCCTAGCCCCCCGATCCCTAACGGATTTCGGCAAAGGAAGAGCCGAATCCGGGGTTTTTAGGCCTGGCGAATCCGATTATGCGGTCGGAATTAAACAAAAATTAGTAGATAAGGGAGTTAGTGAGAAAGTCAGTGCGGGGAGCCATGGCGGAGAGAAGAGGGAATGAGGGAAAGGAAAGTGACTCTTGCCTATTTCTTGATGAAAACAGGCAATGGAGGACTTGAACCAGGGGATTTTGGCCCTCACGAATCCGATTTTGTAGTTAGATCTACTAGGGAGTTAATAAGTCTGGAGATAGAAGGTAGATAAGTTGCACGGAGGAGCTCAGAAGTAGCTATCGATAAAGAATTAAAATATGGGAAATCAACTGATTCTTCATGAACTCGGTTGTGGGGAGATGCGTTATAGGGGTTTTGGGGCAAGACGATGATGATGGTAGTGTTAGTTTGAGTGATCGGTTAGTAAGGTAGGAGTTAACTGACGAATAGGCCGCCCTGGGGGTAGAAACTGGAAAACGCTGAATGCACTTGGCCGAATTTTAGCGGTAGATTCGTAGTTATTTTTACTTGTTTGATGAATCTTGGAATGGCAGCATATCCTTCGTGTTTTAGCAAAGGGGTTCATTGTGGCTTCGCTCATGTAATTAGAGGGAGAGAGAGAGAGAGAGATAAGAGTGGAGTTGGGAGTCAGGCCAACCTGGCAGATCGATGTTACGCACTGTGCTGCGCCGGTAAGCGGTGGACCTAGCCGTATTCTGGCAAGGGACTCAATCCCCTATGTGTGCGGTACGATTTCCCAATGTCCCAGTGAAAAGATTCGTTATCGTTTCGCACGTTCAGTGGATCAGAAAGCAGCATCCATGGGGGGGGAAGGGCTGTGAGGCTGCATAACTGACTTGTTGGCCGGTGCGTTGCTCGTCCTATCAAAACGGAAATAGTAGAAGACAGGCTGCGGGTCTGAAAACAGTTGTAAGGTTGCGGGGACCGACCTGCTGGTTGAAGTGGTGTTCGTCCTATTGGTTGAGCTAGCCAAAGGAGAGACCATGTGATGCATGGGAGGGGGCAGGAGCGAGCGCCTACATGAAAGCAGCAACTGAACAGCGAGTCCGCACCCATGATGCAGCGGAAAATTCATTTTGACTTTGCTCGCCTACCGGCCGAAATAACGAGGGACGGCCGCAGAGCCTGGAAAATTACCTGTGGGCGGTGCTTTGCTTACCCCGGGGGTAAAGTAATAAAGAAGGAGGAGGCTCAGGCAATAACGAATACTTGCCTGTCGGAGTCGAAGTAGTTTGC